CCCCCCGGGCCCCCCCGGGCCCCCCCGGGACCTCCTGCTCCCTGAGCCGCTGCTGGGCAGCTCCGGCTCCGGGCCTCGATCCGGTTCCAGGCTTTGATCCGGTTCTGGGCGGATCCGGCTCCGGGTCTTTGATCCGGTTCAGGTCTTTGATCCGGTTTTGGTCCCTGATCCGGTTCCGGACTTTGATGCAGTTCTGCTCTTTGATCCGGCTCCGGGTCTTGATCCGGTTCTGGTTAGATCTGGCTCCGGTCCCTGATCCGGTTCCGGTCCTTAATCTGGCGCCAGCCCTTAATCCAGTTCTGGTCTAATCCAGCTCCGGCCCCTGATCCAGTTCCGGTCCTTAATCCAGTTCTGCTCCCTGATCCGGTTCTGGTCCCTGATCCGGTTCCGGTCCAATCCGGTTCTGGTCCCTGATCCGGTTCCGGGCCTTGATCCGGTTCCGCTCCCGGCTCCGGCTCCAGTCCCTGCCCCGGTTCGGGCTCCGGCTTTTATACTGGCCCCGCCAATGACGTCAGCTGCCCACGTGACACCCCCCCCGGGTCCACATCCCCCCCCAACTCCCCCCCATCCCACTGGAACTGGTGGCACTGGGGACACTGGGATGGGCCGTACTGGGGACACTGCAGACACTGGCACGGCTTAGACTGGTGGCACCGGCACTGGTTTCTCTGCCTAGACTGGTTGTACTGGTTATACTGGTGCTGGTTGTACTGGTGTCCCTGGCGCTGGCTGTACTGGTGGCACTGGTGTCCCTGGTGCTGGTTGTACTGGTGTCCCTGCCAGTAGCCGTACTGGTTGTACTGGTGCTGGCTGTAGAGGTTGGGTATACTGGTGCTGGCTGTACTGGGTATACTGGTGGTGGCTGTGCTGGTTATACTGGTGCTGGCTGTACTGGTTGTACTGGAGCTGCCTGTACTGCTGTCCGTGGTGCTGGCTGTACTGGTTATACTGCCACTGGCTGTACTGGTGGTACTGGTGTCCCTGGTGCTGGCTGTACTGGTTATACTGCCACTGGCTGTACTGGTTATACTGGTACGCTTATCGCTGGCCATAGTGGTCGCACTGGTGCTGCCTGTACTGCTGTCCGTGGTGCTGGCTGTACTGGTGCCCCTCCACCCCCGCCCAGTCCCCCCCAGTCAGGCCAAGGGCGGGCTGAGGTCGCTCCCAGTCGATACTGGGAGGCTCCCAGTCCGGCCCCGAGGCCCTTTCCATGAGGCACCCACCGGGGGGGAGGGGCCCGGACGCCTGGGTCCACTTTGGGGGGGG